TGAATGAGGCAGAAGTGATGCTGTGCCAATTTTCCACACCTAGGCCTCAAGAGGACTCTATACTTCTGTTCCGTTTCTTCTTCTACTCGAGTTGGCCTGATGGATGAAAGGACACATGCAGCAGAGCTGAGTCAGCCCAAGTATCTCCCGTTATAGGAGGGAGCTCAGTGAAGACCAGCCAATCTTCCTAGCTGACCAGCATTTGGCCATCCTACATTATTAGAATTACCTATCTAACCACCAGATGTGTGAAAAAAAATAAATGCCAAATATATGGCACTAGTGTTTTGGGTTTGTTACCTAGCATTTCTGTGGCAATAAAAGCTGATATGTCTCTCTCCTTTTGCGAACATTTATTATCTACCCAATAGCCTACCCTCTTCCTAAGCTGGGTGCTGGGGACAGAGATAAATCGGAGTTCCGACTTTGAAGACTATCTCATCATGGGGATAGTTATCCACGTAAATAGGCAAATACGTACAATGTAGTCCATGGGATGCTAAAGAAAAAACATATGCTATTTGTCCACTGTACTTATTTAAACTTGCATGGCTGATGGCAGGGGTAACAGGCGGGAGAAGTGTATTAACGAAAAATAAAAAATGAAGGCTAAAGCTTAGATTTATATACCCCAAGGCCAACTGCTCATAACCAAGTAACTCAAACTCAGGTCACTGTAACTTCCTTAAAATGCTAGCTCTAATTTCAAAGAAATCATAAAACATAAGCTTCATATCCCTGACAGCATGACTCAGTAAAATTAAACCAATCAGCTATTGGCAAATAGGTTTAAACAGGCTGCTCACCCTAAAAATAAAAAGGGTAACAGCCAATCATGAAAAAAGGTCAGAATACTTCTTTCTTTTATACTTTATAAACCTCACTCTAACTGCTATAAAGTGAACTTCTCATCACTTGTTCTGGAGTCTTGCTGATCGCAATCTATACATTTATGTCAATAAACTATTTAATTTGCCCTAATTTATTCTGATTTCTATATTTTAAAAAACTTTATTCATGCATTTCTAGGAGTGTGAGAAAGGAGAAAAGGGAGAGAGATGTACCCCACAAAGGTCTTCAGACTGTCATCCATCCCTGGCCTTACTCACTCTATCATGGGTAGTGTGCACCTGGCAGGTACAAAGAGATTTCAGGACAAGAACCCAGGATCCTCCTATGTGGATCAGTCTAGCATCACAGAGCACTGTATCACCACAGTGCCACCAAGCTGGCCTGATTTTGTTTTAGACAGCAGAATGCTACAGAGGTGGCTTCTTAAGGGACAAAAGGTTATTTTGAAAGACTAGTAGGATTTAGCTATATGAAGTGAGACAGGGATTCCAGGTCCAGGGAAGAGCTGGAACAAAATCATGGAGGTAAGAGAGAGGTTCTCTTCATATCAAGACATGTAAATTATTTTGGTAACGGATATGAGGCAGTCACTCTTTTTAAAAAAAGAATTATTTATTTTAATTTATTTATTCATTTATTTTAATTTGACCAGAGAGAGACACAAAGAGAGAGGGGGAGAGAAAGCAAGCCACCAGGTCTGGGACTTGAACCCTGGTCAGTAATGTGGGCATATCCAGGACCCTAAATACCACATCACCTGCTGGTCCCTCTATGGGGCAATCACTTTAAGTGTAAGGAAAGTACATAAGGAGCTGAGTCAGGATGGGTGAGGATGAGCATGTGCAAACTCATATGCAGAGGTACATGCTTCTCATTCTTCTGGCAGAAATGAGTGCTGAAGTCATGTTTATGGTTATGAAAAGCTTTAGCTAGAGGGTACAAAGGGACAGAGAAGTAGCCACACAAGATCTGCTCCACCAGGTCTCAAGGAAGGGCAGAGAATCTATTCACTCATTTATTCAACACATATTTATGCAGCCCTTTCTATATGCTGTGCTAGGCTCTAAGGATACAGAAGTAGACTAGATATCCATAAATTTCTGTCCTCATAAACTTTGTAGTCTGGCACTTCAGCACGGAGAAGACCTTCCTTAACTGTCTTGACCCCCAACTATTCAGGTTCTCTTTTCATTCAACTAAGGATTCCTCAAATTTTCACCTCCAGCTAGCAAGGTAAGGTGGTGAATGATGGCAGGAAATGATGCAATATTGCTTACTTTAAATTTTGTCAATTATATATATATATGTATATAAAATCTTCTAACACCGTAAATAGGAAGAACAATCTTAGGGGAAGAAAGGCAGACTTGTGCAAAAAAGGAATAGTTCAGCTTACATCGACATTTAATCACTCCTTATTTGTTCAACAGATGTCTCCTGAGTTCCTACCATGATCCAGGTCTGCGCCCAGCAGCACTGGAGATAAATGGTAAACCAAAAAGCACGCCTGTGCTCTCCTGGAACATGCCCGCTTGGGAGGGAAGCAGACCAGTGACTAATCCTACAAGTGTGGCTAGACTTTTCTAGTTCTAGCACTGAAAGTCTTAGGTCCTGGAAAACCCCTCAGTCCCAGCTAAACTGTGACACTTGGTTATGCTAAGACAAACATTAATTAAATCATCACGCAAATGTGTAATTACAACTGTGAAGAGTGAATAAAGGAAAGCCAAAAGATACGTGAGCATAAAAGTGAGTTCCTTCTCCAGTTTAAGGGTCAGGGAAAGCTTCTCTGAGAAGATGTGTAAGTAAAACATGCACGGAAATTATGCAGATGGGTGTGTGTGTGTGTGTGTGAGAGAGAGAGAGAGAGAGAATTCCATCAGTAAGGAGTGCTCATTACCTGGTGCTTACTTTTATTGTTCTGCCTTCGCCCAACCACAGTTTTATCACATGGCAGCCTTAAAAACTCCTGGCTTAAATTGCATCCCAGAGCTTCTTTGGAGCAAGTAAAACATCCCACACTCATAATCATTTAAGACCTAGGGTTTATACAGGTAGATGGACACCCATCAATGCCAAATAATCTTTTTTTTGCCTGGGACCCTCTTCCTGCCAGAATTCTTGTCTCCGTATGATAGCTGTTCTGTAGCATATAGTTAGTAAACAGCAGAGGTGGTATTTGAAACAAGGCAGCCGTTGGCCCCACACCCCTAGTGATTCCTCAGATTTTCACCACTTGTGCATATCAGTTGCTTAGGAAGGACATGCATCACCCCCACCCCTCCCACTTCCAGTGAATGGGAGGGTGCTCCTGTGTAGGTCGAAGCAGAATTTCATTAGAGGAATATGGCTCTGCTGCTCAGAAATGTCAGATGATAGCTTTGCTTAGTTCTGTCCTGGAGGAAAGTTCGGAGTGGACTCCTGTTTGTGCCCACTTTCCTAGAATGGCACAGACTTCTTATCAGACATACTGAGTAAAACAATGAAACAGAGTACTTTTAATCACTCCCAAATCCTGAGTTCTTCAATGAAACAAGTAATAGTTCATTTTTCAGGAAAGGAAAGAGAATGCACATTTGTATTTGTGTTATTTATTGCTTTGTAATAAACCTAAATACTTGAAAATATTTTTGTAAAAGCTCCTTCCATGCTGATAACTATCCTGGGCTGCTCTGTGATCCAAGGAAGGGAATACACTGACACTAGATACTGGAAGCCAATGTTGACTTGCAGTGATAATGGTGCTGTTGGCAAGAGAAGAGCAGTTAGGTTTGACTAGGATCTCAGCAAAGGCCTTACTCTGAGCACATTACTAGTATTCACTCACTTAACCCTTACAACAATACTAAGGGAAGATTCTGCCATTATTCCTATTGTACAGATGTGCAAACTGAGGCAGAGAGTGTGAAATAAGATGCCCAGTTAATAGAAGTACAAAGTAGTCAGGCATCAAGTTCTGTGGGTTCTGTAACTGTCTCTGCCAAACCATGGTCTTGGACTTAGGCAACCACTGCTTCATTGAGTCTTTCACCTGTCTTGGAAGAGCAGGAATTAAGGACCATTAGAATTAACACAGATAGGAGCCAGCAGGTGGCATGGTGTCTGGGGTGCTGAACTCTCACACAGTCAACCATAGTTCGAGTCCTGGACCTTGCAGACACTCAGTATATATTGAGTGGGGACATACAGTGTCTCATCTTTGTAGCCTAGCTTGCTTCACTCAGCAGTAAATCTTTCATATTCTTCCACATTTTGTCATGGGCTACATTTCTGCTACTATTCATACTATTTTACACTAGCTGAATAGTAACTATATAGGAAATATTTATAGATGCACACTGAGTGCCAACTACAGTTTTAAACTTGAAAATAGATGGTGTCAGAGTCACACAAGGCATACAGTCCCTGTCCTCTTTAAGTTTACAATCTAGTCAAAATTGGAGACCAGGCTTGGCTGGGAGTAACTCAGGTGTCAAATGACCTGTGAGTGTACAGTGTACGTATGCATTCA